TGGGTTTGGGAAGAACTTCAAGCACTGGACCTGAAAGAAGACAGAACCAGAGGTGTGGATTTGCACTGGTTATGGGCTATGGCTAACAATTAGGCTGGAAGGTTAAGGACACTGATAGAACAAAATAGGGAAACTGCTGACAGTAAGGTTTGGAGAAGTCATACGTTGAAAGACCTCTCCAAATAACTGAAGAATGTGACCATATGAATGCTCACCAAAGGGAATCTGCAGAGACTAGGCTCTAAAAAGTTTGGTGTACAAGGTGATTTTTTCTGTGAATGCCATTCGGCTTTTTTTTTTTTTTTTTTTTTTGAACTGGAGTCTCACTCTGTTGCCAGGCTGTAGTGTAGTGGGGCGATCTTGGTTCACTGCAAACTCTGCCTCCCGGGTTCAAGTGATTCTCCTGCCTCAGCCTCCTGAATAGCTGGGATTACAGGTGCCTGCCACCACCCCTGGCTAACTTTTGTATTTTTAGTAGAGATGGGGTTTCACCATGTTGGCCAGGATGGTCTCCATCTCTTGACCTCGTGATCCTCCTGCCTTGGCCTCCCAAAGTGCTCAGATTACAGGCATGCGCCACCACACCCGGCCTCAGCTTCTTTTTTGTAGCTTCCCCAGTCCTTGCCCAGAAATGACACAGGCTTTCTCTCACCAAGACTGATCTGACTACAGCCACTACTGAACACCTCACAGAACAGGAGAGTCTTGATATGGCAGAAGAAGAACAAAGAACAGAAGAACAAGAAGTCTTGATACGTTTCCCAGAAGAACAGCTGGCCACTTGACTGAATACGCTGTACCCCTTCCACCATGGAACAGGCAGCAAGTTTTTCTTATTGCAATAGTTTTACTCTACATATGGATTTGCCTTGCCTGCAGTGCTTCTGCAAAAATCTCATCTAAGTTTGCAGAATGCCTCATTCCTGTCATAGTATCTCACACTGCATCACTTCTGACTAGAAAACTAATTTTACAGGCAAAATAATGAGGCAGTGAAACACCCAGATAATTCACTGGTTCATCTACCTTATCATTCCAAAACAGCTTCCATCTGTGGATCGGCCTTGTGAAGACTCTTATATGGCACTTGCAGGACAGTACTTTGTTGTTCTGGAGTGTTGTTTTTTGCAGTTTACAACATATTTCAAAATATGGTGTTATTTTTCCCTAGATAGAATACACAGGTCTAGGATCTAAAGTTAGTGGCTCTTCTCATGACAATCCTTAATGATACTGTAACAAATATTTGCTTCTAGTCCTTCCAATATTGGGCCCTACTGGTTTAGAGGTTTTCTATTTCCAGGGAAAGACTGCTCCCATCTGAGAACACAAGGATTCCACAAAACAGGTAAAAATTATAAAAAGACTTTAAGCTCAAGGAATTAACAGCCTTAAAATTAAATTAACACATCAACATACAAAGGATCTACTACTTATTTGAAGAATATACTAGGATTTAATAGTCACAGTTTGGGCAATTAACTAATAATCTAAAGGTCCACAATATGTACTTTATGTGTCTGTAGTAATTAGTTTTCTTTCTGGAGATGGTCTTTGAATGGCAGATAAAACTTTAGTAAATGCAGAAACAGCATTTAACTTGTGGTGGGGTGCATACCAACACAGAACTTCTAAAGAAATATGATTCTAAGGCTGGGCATGGTGGCTCACCCCTGTAATCCAAGCACTTTGGAGACCAAGACAGGCGGATCACCTGAGGTCGGGAGGTAAAGACCAGCCTGACCAACATGGTGAAACCCTGTCTTTAAAAAAAATAAAAATACAAATAAAAAGAAATATGATTCTAGAGAATATTAAAGCCTGAATAAGCATTTCTGTATGAATTTGGGGATTCACAAAGATGTATCTGGATGTATTTATAATTTACATCATCACTGAGCCCCAGACATCTATAACTACTTTTGGGAGAAATAATGTAAATGAGCAATTCTAATCCAAGCTAATCTTGAAAGAGAAGTTAGGAGACAATTTTTTCTTTCATTCTGAACTTATTTTGAAATACATAAAATTAAAACTATAAATATTAATACGTTTTCTTTCCTGTTTACTTTTTAATTATTCTAATGAACAGAATACATTTCTCTTTAGCTAACTGCTCAACTGGCACTCAAAATACTGAATTCAGCAAATATAAAGGATTACACATAGCCAAATAATAAGTAGGAATTTCATCAAGGCAGTTGGATAGGTGAGTGAAGACCACCATAGCACAATAAATATAAACAGAAAGGCTCATAGAACTTTTTTTTTTTTTTTTGAGACAGGGTCCCACTCTTGTCACCCAGGCTGGAGTGCAGCGGCATGATAATGGCTCACTGCAGCCTTGACCTCCCCAGGTTCAAGTGATCCTTTCACCTCAGCCCCTCAGGCTGCTGAGACTACAGCTGTGTTACGCCATCTTGCCTGGCTATTTTTTTTTTCTGTACTTTATAAAGATGGGGTTTGTTGCCCAGACTGGAGAACTAGCTTTTTTTTTTTTTTTTTTTTTGAGACAGAGTTTCATTTTTATTGCCCAGGCTGGAGTACAATGGCACGATCTCAGCTCACCACAACCTCCACCTCCTGGGTTCAAGTGATTCTCCTGCCTCAGCCTCCTGAGTAGCTGGAATTACAGGCATGCACCACCACGCCCAGCTAATATTGTATTTTTTAGGTGATCTGCCAGCCTCGACCTTCCAAAGTGCTAGGATTATAGGCATAAGCCACTGCACTCGGCTGAGAACTAGCTTTTTAAAAAAATTAACAGAAGTTTTGTATGTGGACATGAAAATAAAGAGCATAGAAAGAATGAGTACTTTCTATGTTGGGCATTGCTGGATTAACTAATTAAACCTCAAAATGACCCCATGAGGCGTTATTATTTACATCTTCGCTTTATAAAGAAAGAAATGGAAGCAAAACAGGTTAAGTAACTTGTCAACCAAGGTCACACAGCTGTTAAGTGCCAAAGTAGTGACTAGGACCAGGCCTCCCTGGCCTGAATCATCCTCTTATCCACTTTGCAGTGTGGAGTACATACCAAGGGCTGGGACAAAGGTGAAGCAAGACATTTGTCTTGGGTGCAAAATTAAAAAGGCATCATAAAACTCCACAGTGATCAGATAAGCACTTTAATGTAGTATTTTAAAAAAATTAGAATAAATGCAAAAATCCTATGATAAAATACCAAAATTTTAAATAAAGATGGGATCAGAATTAATTATTTTCGTTGTGCCTTGGGCTCCTACATGGCTTGTCATTGTTACTAGTCCTGTCGTTATTTAAATTTTTGAGCCTGAGGCAAGAACTGCCTCACTTCATTCATTTCATGCTAGTCTAGGACCCAAACAAAAATATTCCTCTAAGTCTTGAGCTTCAATCAATGTCTGACTAACTTTATCACAGTATAATAGTAATTACTGAAATGCTGACACCATCTTTCTGAAATATGCAATAGGCAAAAGCATTCTATATTGAGTATTACTGAATATAATGAATATTGAATATTCAACACATTCATATTTTAAGATGAAAAGAGAAACCCAATATTGACAAAAGAAAATTCTATGCTCAGCTTTAGCCTACTGTATTATCCTTACCACATTCAGTAATCACATATACATTTAACAAATGTGTTTTGAGCATCTACTACATACCACATCAAACTTGGTGCTCCAACAATGAAGAAATGATAAAGCAGAATTTATACATAGGAAAAGGGGGAAACAGAACAATACTTGTTGATACATATCCACATATGGGTACATTTTCTCATTTAATCCTCACATTATCCCTATTTTGTAGATGGGAAAACAGGCGAAGACAGGCTGTATAACTTGTCCAAAATCATCCAACTAGAAAGCGGCAGAACTAGATCCAAACCCAGATCTACCTCATTAGAAAACAAAAACAAAAATAAAACGCTTGCTGTTATATGAAGACAATTCAAATTTCTACAAAGACTTCAAAGCAACCTAGAAAACATTTAGGACAGGTAGGAAAGTGAAAATATAAGTGTTACTAGATTGAAACTACAAAAAAGTATGTTTGCATATGGACAAACAGCAAAAGAAAATCATTGGGTGCAGCTGATAGCAACATTTAAAAAATCTACATAATACAATAAAAGGTACAGAAAAAATCAGTTTAAGTTGGATAAAACAAATCTCAGTGTCAACTTTGTATTTTTTTACTATGTAAAATGAGCAAAAATGAGTTTGATATATGGTATGCTTGATAGAAAAATTGAAGACTTTCAAGAAAAGCTTCAGTTATGAGTAATCTGAGCTTCTACATCCTATGAGGTCAATTATTTGGTTACCATCAATATTCCAAACAATAAAATGCTATCATTAAATATGCCCTACCCAACTGTATAACTGAAACTTGAAGTTTACATATATAAGTTAGCAAAAGGTCTCAGCATGGTCACTGAATATAATTAAATCATTTATATAGTTTTTGTGTTTTCTTTACCATACTTGGTGACCATGTATTTTATCCTTTATATTTATGGGTTTTAGCTTATTTCCCTACTTAAGAATGTCAAGTTCTGACTCACGTCTATTAATACGAAAAACTTGGTAGGAACATGAATTTCAGTAGTTTCTTGAATGTCTTAAGTCTGATCAGTGAAAAGAAACAAAACATCCAGGAGGGAGCTGTCTAAATTAGAAATATTTTACAACAGAGAGGATGGTCCTTTTACTAAACATTGGACTTAGTTGGAATATGCAGTCACTTGGCCTGAGGAACACTAAGAAGCATTTGCCTTTTTTAAAAATGCAAGAATGTGAAAAAATAGCAAGCTGGCAATAATCCTATAAAAGGAACACGTGTTAAACATCATGATTTCTCCAATTTCTAAGACAGGTGGTGCCTAATACTTGGTTAGAAAAACCTACAAAACTACTCTTGGGTTTTGTCAAATTGCTATAGATAGTACAAAGTATTTGCACCTTGAAGAAACAAGCAACATTCTAAAGAAAATCAGTGCTTACTTGGTAATCATTTCTCTTAATATTTGGAACATCCATGTTGTGAGTAGAAGGACAAATATCTTCATATTTTTTGCCCGTGAAAATATCAATTCCAACAAGGTGAACCTAACAGAGGAGAACAGGAAACCTGTTTAATCTCTGCCAAGTATACCACTCATTACGTACAATATCAACGCTGATTACGACAGATTCTTTTTCTCCTCCTTCCAAGGTCATCTAATTTTACTTTCTTAAAAAAAAAGTAATGGTCATACAATTAAGATGCAGTAAACAACGAAACAGTATCATGACATGCCAAGACCCAAGACAGTCCAATGATTCAATTATGAGAGGATACAAGAAAAATAAAGTGTAGGTTTCTTAGAATTGCTAGAACAGGTTTTCTCATCTGTAAGCTGAATAGACCTAGGTCACTAGAATTCAGGAAAGTTTCAGTTCCCAGTTAATGAAACATTGTAAACATTGTAAAGGCCCAAGAAAGGAATGCTACCTTAAGTTTTCAAAGTAATAACTGATCACTCAGCAATTGTGGGAAAGAAAAAAAATAGTGCTTATTACAAAATTTTAAGTATAGTAATCTCATGATCTGCAACGGAATACAAATGATCAAAATCCCAACGCCGAAACCAAAGCCTGATCTGCAAGGGCGCTTACCTTGGCATGACCATGCTTTCCAGTTTTGGAAGTTGACATCTCCACTATTTTGCATGGTCGTCCTTTGAGCACCACGAAGCCGTTTTTGCGCAAGGCCGAGCACTGCATAGGGTAAGTGCTGGAAGCCCCAGCATCCCCAGTAGTGAAATCAATTTCGTCCGCCATGGTGGGCTGGGGAGATGGTAGTTTTTCCGTGTGAACGACACAAAAAGTTTGTGTTTGCTTTTTAACAGTGGATATGTAGGCAGGGAAACGTCTCATTTCGGACAAGTTACGTGCCAAGCGTCATGGGCCTGTTATTTCTGCATGTATAGAACACCCACCCTAGACTAGCGGGCACTTTCTAACTCTGGCCTCTAGAAACTTTTCCAGCTATTGTTTGGGGAGGTGGGATGAGAAGTCGCAGAGGAGCCCGCAGAGGGTGGGGACACCCGCCCTGGGCGCTCCTCCGCGCTTGAAACAGCAGGTTCTGGCGCCCATCGCCCCACCGCAGCAGCCGGCGACCTTCCCGCGCCGCCCCAAACCCTACTGCGGGGGACCTAGCCCAGGCCGCACGTCCCCGCGAAGGATGCGGAGTAACAGGACCCGGCCGGCAGCACCCGGCTCTCTGCTAACGGGCGCGCACCGCGCCCTCCACCCTTCACCGCCGCCGCTGCGGCCGCACCAGCGCTCCCTGTTCTGCCGGCATCCCAGGCTCGGCTCGGCTCGGCCCGGCCCGGCCCGGCCCGGCTCGGCCCGAGTAGGGCCTGAGCCCCAGCGGGTCCCGCGCTTGCCTCCGTTCCCCCATCCATTCTTCTTCCTTCCCTCGGTCAGCGCTTGGCTCTGGGCGCCTTCCCAGGCCCTGTCTCACTCTCGCCCCATCCCCACCAGCTTTTCCCCGGGTCCTCACCTTTCAGCTGGCAAAGAGCGCCTTTCGCCTGCGCACCCGCGCGGGTCCCCTACAGCTGAGGCGCCGGCGGCGGCGGTGGCGGCCGCGGCAGGTCCCAGAGCCGGGGCGGGGCCGCCACACTTTCCACACCCCAGCCTCCCCGCCCTTACCCGCCCCCACCTCAGCCCTACTTCCGGGATAGGCCCCGGAGCGTCACAGGCACCGCCCCCTAGGGCTACCATTGGCTACCAGGTTCCCGAGGCCCCGCCCAGTCACGTGAAGCGCGCCCTGGCAACCCCACGTGCTGCGGATTAGTGCACTTCCGGCGTGGAGAGCGCTTTCAGCATCCTGATTGCTGAGGGTGAGCTCGGTGGCAGAGGAACTTGCGACTTCCAACTCTTAGGTTTGTTGCGTTTGGGTCGCAGTCTACTTTAATGGGAACCAAGCGAGGCACCCGGTGGCCCCTGCTGTCAGGTGCGTGGCAGTTAACACGTGACGATCGTCGGCAGTCGCAAGGCGCGTAGATTCAGTGAGTGCCAGTGTGGCTGGCTGTGAAGGGAACTTTGGGTTCGAGCTTCTGGTTCAGCTTGCAGCCTTTCTTGGGGTTGGAACCCCCCTCCTGGTCTTGGAAGAAGAACTCACATGCAGTATTTTATTACCTGGCTCGGCACCACGGGTTCTGAGAACCTCACTCACCCCTTGGTGAGATTTTGGCATTGACTGCCGCAGGGTGCCCCTGTAGAGTCAGCACTGCTCCTTGGGGTGGACACTCCTGAAGCATCCGCCAGCCAACAAGCAGCAGTGAAATGACTTAATCCACTTCTCACACCAAAAGCTGTTGTGAAGTTGTGGAGGCAGAGCTTGTCTGACCTCTATCGCATTGTGGGTCCTGCCAACTCATCCCTTCTTTCCTCCTGGCATTGGCATTCCTTAGAGTTTGGGTTTTAACTCTGCCGTATTAGAACGCTTGGATGGTCTTCAAAACTGACCTAGAGCTTGTAGACTGCAATAGAAAGGTTCTTAAAAGAGATGTGCTCCCCCCTTCACATTTTCATTTCACAACCCACTGTGTCCTATCTTGGGGAGGTGACCTAGGAAATTACTTCTCATTCCACACCCGCATTTATGTGGTACTTTGATTTCCTGTTGCTGTCTTATGAATAATCTCATATCTCACATTCCTATATGACTGCAGTTTACACATACATTTCAAACATGTCCAGTTTAACTTTTACAGTAAGTTACTGCCCTCTCGTACTGAACTCAGCCTCTAGCTAATATATGAAACAGCCATTACAGCAGTGGCTCTTGCCTGTAATCCCAACAGTTTAGGAGACCTCCGCAGGTGAGTTGCTTGAGCTCAGGAGTAGGAGATCAGCCTGGGCAACGTGGCGAAACCTTGTCTCTACCAAAAATACAAAACTTCAGTGATAGCCTGCACCTGTGGTCCCAGATACTTGGGAGGCTGAGGTGAAACGATCTATCGCTTGAGCCTGGGAGGTGGAGACTGCAGTGGGCCGAGATCCGGCCATTGCACTCCAACCTGGGTGACAGAGTGAGACCATCCCTCCTCCCCACTCCCAATCCCCCAGAAAGAAAAAGCCAGCTTGGAATCTCGGTTCATGAGGTCTTTCTGCTTTTCTTTATACCTTCTAACTTTTCCCTATTGTTTTGAGAATGATCGCTAATAGTATTTAGTATTTATATAGGCAAGTAGTGTACTAAAATTTTCACATGCATTATTCCTTTGATCCTGACTGCCGCTATTTTTAACCTTTTTAAGTTATTCATATAAAGTAAGATTTCCCTTTTAGTTTTATGATGAGTTTTTTCATGATGATCAAGATACGTTTTTCAAAACTCATAAAACTAAAAGGGACAAATTTTACTTTATATGGGACTTTATGTACTAAAAGGGAAAATTTTTAAATCTTCATATACTAAAAGGGACAAATTTTAAAATCTACTTTAAGTAGACTGGGTGCGGTGGCTCATCTATTATCATCAAGATATGGAATGTTTCTCTCATTCCAAAATCTTCCTAGTGGACTTCTGTGGTCAGTTTCCTCCCTCTACACCCAGCCCCTGGGAAATATTCACCATACTGCTTTAACCTGCATTTTTCATTATGGAAAACGGTGAGAAAAGTTAAGCAATTTGCCCCAGATTGTAAAGCTAGCTAGTTGGAGAACCAAGATTGAAATCTAGGCATTTTGGTTCCAGAGTCACTGCTCTACCTACCACCATATACTGCATTCACATAAGATTTGGGTTTGGAATGAAATGACTGGGCATCACTTATTCAATAAATATAGTCAGTTCTCCTGAAGTCACTAAGAACACTGAACTGGCAAATACTAAATCATTGCTCCTAGGAGAAATACAGGGTTAGACTCCTCTGAGCCTCTGGCCCAAAACATTGGTTAATATGTTTTGAGATGTTTAATAGGAATAAAAAGGTCTGCATAGAGCCGAGGCTTGGAGCCACCCCTCCACTGCACATTCAGTACAGAAAGACGGTTTTATAAAGTTCACACTTTTTAAAGTAGTAGAAATAGGGTGAGGCCCTGAGACTGGCCTGGTGAGTGAGGGAAGGCCACTGGGTGCTTCCTCTGCTGGCCAGGGCTGAAATAACCCGAGTTCCATTCTCACAGAAGGGGGCGGCTGCCACCTCTTGACATCGAGGATGGATGGGCAGGAGGTGTCCTCGATGGCCAAGGCGTATCAGGATTTTAATATAATTTTTAGAGTGTATTTCTGTTTAAAGACACCTGATTTGCTATATATTGTTGATTCATTAACATTAAACTGATAGACAACAACAATGTAATTCATGCCTGAAGGCAGTTTATCTAACATATGCTCTCTGTAAGGCATAGTGTAGCTTTCTTGTGTTTTTCAACATTAGCTCTTCAGCACAGTGCTTGGGGGCCGTTTTGAACAGTGAAACCATCATAAAAATCACAACAATGCAAAAACTATGGCACTAAATAGACTGAAAAGAATACTTGTTCACAGTTGGACAAGTGAAATAAGAAGGCAGAGCATGGCTGTGTTTGACCTCAGCTAAATGTGCATTAGATGGCTCAAATCTCTGTTCATGTTCACAAATGACTTCAAAAGCACTGCAAGTATTGATTTTAAGATTAAGTAGGCTGGGCACAGTGGCTCATGCCTGTAATCCCAGCACTTTAGGAGACAGAGGCTGGTGGATCATGAGGTCAGGAGTTTGAGACCAGCCCGGCCAATATGGTGAAACCCTGTCTTTACTAAAAATACAACAATTAGATGGGCGTGGTAGCACACACCTGTAGTCCCAGCTGCTCTGGAGGCTGAGGCAGGAGAATCGCTTAAACCTGGGAGGTAGAGGTTGCAGTGAGCCGAGATCGTGCCACTGCACACCAGCCTGGGGAACAGAGCAATACTGTCTCAAGAAAAAAAAAATGTTCTAAGTAAATTATGTCAATTATGCAAATTCACAAATACTAAATCCAAAAATCATGAGGATTGACTGTGTGTACTTTAGTGGCCTTACCTCTGGTATTACTGTGTCGACCAAGACAGCCTCTTGTTCCTACGGTGCTTGCAGTCTAGTGCAGAAGACAGTCTAGTAATTTTAAAACATAAAAGAAATGCTGATAAAGAAATAAGTAAAAGGCACTGAAGAAAAGGGCTTATCTAGGCTAGACAGTGTCCAATTAAAATATGATATAAGCTACATGTAATTTTGAGTTTTAGCCACAAAAAGTTACAAAAATGAAACTAACTTCAATAGTATATTCTATTTAACTGAATATGTCCAAAATATTATTTTACATGTAACCAATATAAATATCATTACTAAGGTATTTTACTTTTTTCCCATACTAAGTCTTCAAATTCTGGTGTATTTGACACTTTCAGTACATTTAAATTCAAACTAGCTATAATTCAAGTGCTCAATAACTAGGCGTGGTTGGTGGCTATCATATTAGGTATCATAGGTCTAGAAGGTTCAGGGACTGCTTCTCTGGGAGGATATCGAATTTGAGATTTGAAAGACAAGTAGAAGTTAGCAATGGAGAGGAGTTTAGAAAAGACACTTTAGGCAAAGAAAATGGGGTTACAAAGGTGTGTTGTGACAGAATCATGGCATCATTTGTACTGTAAATGGCTTTGTATGATAGTGTATACTGTAAAGATGGATGAATTTGGAGTTTCTCCCAAGGGCAGTAGAAAAGCATTGAAATAGTGCATACAAGAAAATGATAAATAATTTTTAAAATAAATTTAAACCATTCTTGTTGTGATATGCAGTATTTTTTAGGAGGAGACAATATTGGAAGTAGGAAATGAATTAGAAAGGCATAATTATGTTGAACAAACATGATGAATGAGAAGATTGCAGAGTTATAGGGAAAATGGAAAGAACGTCATAATTAATTGAATGTTGAGGGTCAAAATAGGGAGGCACAGAGTACAAAGGAGAGGAAAGAGTGAAATTAAGACTCACCAGTTTATGGTGTAAAAATCTGGGTGAATGGTGATGAATTTTCATTGAGTTAGAAAATATAGGAGAAGAAGCAGTTTGCAAAGAAAGCCAAGTTCACTTTTGGGCAGATTGAGTTTAAGGTTCCCATGGGAAAGGGAACTATCTGAAATAGAGATACATGTTTATGAATCAGTATATAGATGATAATTAAAGCTATGAAAGTGGAATATTTAGAGGAAGAATGCACAGTGAAAAAAAAGGAGCAAAAAATAGAACCCTGTTCTGTTTAAAGAATAACCAGTGGGACCAAGCGTGGTGGCTCACGCCTGTAATCCCAGCACTTTAGGAAAAGCCAAGGTGGGCTGATCACCTCAGGTCAGGAGTTCGAGACCAACCTGGCCAAGATGGTGAAACCCTGTCTCTACTAAAAATACAAAAATTAGCTGGGTGTGGTGGCAGGTGCCTGTAATCCCAGCTATCTGAGGCAGGAGAATTGCTGGAACTCAGGAGGTGGAGGTTGCAATGAGTCAAAATCATGCCATTGCACTACAGCCTGGGCAACCGGAGCAAGACCCTGTCTAAAAAAAAAAGAGAGAGAGAGAATAACCAGCAGAAGAGGAGAATGAGAAAGAGCACTGTATTTCTTAGGGAAGAACTACAGATTTGAAAGGAAGCCTGAAAGGACAGAAACTGTGCA